AGATCTTAACTAATTTGCAAAACTGATTTTTTTTCCCCTTATATCCAATTGTTTTAGCTTTAGCTTTCTTTCTCCCTTGGTTTGACTGAGAATCTGTTGCCCATTCATTCAGGCTGTTGCGAGTGACGGAGATGATGACGGGAATTGGAGTGAGACTTGAGTCCCTCAAAGCCAAATTTGTAATTATTATTTGCTTCAATCAATTGTGAATGAAGCTTGTTCATGTTAGTTTCGACTAGGTCTCCTTTTTTGCTACTTCCAAGTAGTTGTGTTTGTTTACCAGTAGGTTTTAAAATTCATAATCAGCAGTTGTGTATTGAACACTGAAATTCCATCAGTTTAGCTGGGAATTCGCTTGCTTCAAGCCTGTAATTTGGTTTTCCTTTTTAGTTTGCTTTTACTTATTCGACGGAAAACTAATTTGCAATAAATAATTATTATGAGGTACATTTTTTTTTATTTATTTATTTATTTTTTTTAAACGTCAACAGCCAGAAGATGGCAAAATACACAAGTAACCAATTACTAAAAAACAAATTATAGAGTTCCGTGAATTTCAAAAGTGCTAGGATTAATTTCAAAACAATGTAAAACAGTTAGATTAAATAAGAAAAGATAGTTAAAAAAAATTAAAAATTGAAAAGAAGTTACGAAGGACGTGATGGTTAAATTTTAAAAACAATAACTGATAACATTCATAAGGTAAACAAACAAATAAATAAAATAAATAGATGGTTTAAAATTTTAAAAACAATAGTTGCTAACATTCATAAGGTAAACCAAAAAAAAAAAATAAAATAATAAAAAAGGTAAGAAAAACATTAAGAGACGAAGCTTATTTCTTAGTGAATTGCTATTTACCGCCTTTTTTTACGACCCACCCTCTTTGACCGTATAGCCCTCCTCATAATTTCCTTTATTTTTTTAAAAAAAATTAAAATCTCTCCCAACCTCCTCCGGCTGGATTGTCACAAAAAAAATCCAAAAAAATTGAAGTAATCATACATAATTATGATTAGTTTGCGTAAATATTAGTCATAAATAGTTAAGTGTAATTATTTTATAGTAGTTAATAAAATATATATATTGCTCTCGTCCTCAATTCTCACACGACGCCGAAAACCTAACTCACAGCTCTCAATTTTCCGACGAATCTACCTTCCACGGCGACGATAAAGCGCGACTAGGGGTCGTCCTCAACTGTCGCGGCCCCCCTGGCGAAGAGCGCCCCTTGTTCTGCTTCAGATAGTCCATTGACGTGGCGGCGGGTTCGTGGTTGTAGATAGAGTGTCGGACGGTGGTGGCGCACCTCGAGGTCGAAGCAAGGCCGACGATTGGAATCTTCTTTTCAGTCACCGGAGGAGCTGCGATTTGTATCAGTAAGCCCCATTTTTCCTACCCTTTTTCTGCGAGTGTCGAATTCGGCTTTCTCCGGCGACGCTTCACCTTTTATAGTGGGGTCGGGCCGATTGTCCTTGGTTGTCTGCGGTGGTGATGGGTGGTGTGCGAATCGTCGGGTGGGGCGGGATCCTGTTACCGCGTCGCTCCTTGTCGTGGCGGTCGGGGGGAGGGCTGTTCTCTCTTCCTCAATTCCCCGTTGACTAGTGGTTTTAGGCGGCGGGGGATGTTCTATCGGCCTCCTCTAGTGGTGCTAGAAGAGTTCAGATGGATTCGGAGTGGGATGGACTATGGCCCTCTTGGTTTTCGATGGGTTAATGCGGGGACTGGTTTGGGATTTGGATTTCGCTGCTGTATAGGGTTGATTGCAGTTTCGGTAGCTGGTGCTTGGCCTGGATTGGTATTGTGTCAATCGTTCACTACTAGTCCGGACTTACTCGTTCGCTGGGGAAGGGCTATTAGATTTATTTAGTATTGTGTTTTTGTGTTCTTGTTTTAGTTTTCGTAATTGTGTTGTGCGTGTCTTGTATTTTTGGTTTGGGCCGTTGGTGTTGACGTCAAACAACATGCACAGTATTGAACTTTATCGAAATAAATCCTAACGCTGCGGAATCTATAGTTAGGATA